AGAGCTATTGAAACCAGAGCTGCCTGGAGCTAGAGCTCTTGCAACTAGAGCTAACTGGAGATAGAGCTCTTGAAACTAGAGCTAACTGGTGTATGATGAGTGGTGTATTGATGAGTGGTGTATGGTGAGTGGTGTATAGTGGTGTATTGATGAGTGGTGTATGATGAGTGGTGTATTGATGAGTGGTGTATGGTGAGTGGTGTATAGTGGTGTATTGATGAGTGGTGTATTGATGAGTGGTGTATTGATGAGTGGTGTATGATGAGTGGTGTATGATGAGTGGTGTATTGATGAGTGGTGTATTGATGAGTGGTGTATGAACAGTTCTTGAATGTCCGTAACACGGAAGTTTCGTACACTGAACTTCCTTTGATCAACGCTACGGAGCGTCTTTCCCCCCTTGAGCCAAAATAAGTGATGTCTCTGGACTGAGGACTGTACAAGCGGGGTATACATGGGCTATACACTTCATCAACCTTTAAACGCTATACAAGTTGTATAGTATAACATAATAATAGTATTATAGTACATATAGCCATATGATAGAGTAGACTTATCAAACAAAAGGTCGCATCTTCGGCAAAGGGCTGGGCTGTCATCCTTTGCTCTGCTTTGAACGCTGTTTAGTCAGAAAGCCTTGCGTGACTGACAATTCTCCAAGGCATTCGATTGCACGTTGTCGTACTGGCTCGTGCAACTCATGCCTGTTAGTAAAGGTGTGACTCATTTCCCAAAAGAAGGACGTCAAAATTAAACATCATCTTATGATTTCACAAATGGAAAACCATCACACGCACACAAAATGCCCGACAAGACGCACGAAGTCTTTCAAAAGCCTGAAAAGCACTTGCTTGCCACACCCGTGGAATGAGCGCAGCAAGCTTGTTTACCTTGCTTGGCAGCAGCACGCGCAAAAAACATATATTCGAAAGCAACGGTTGCCAAAGCAACGGGAGACATAACGTTGACCCTGGCAGAAGGTGTCTGAAAGCGCTAGAGTGGCAATCAGCAGTGTCACGCCAATGCAGAAGAATGTCGCGCAAGAGGTGTCCTACAAACTAGACGACGGTTGGCCCGAGAGCGAGACAGGTGATTGTCCAGCACAGTCGAGTCATGAAATAGCTAAAATCGAGTTGTCCAAGAGCAATGACTTCTTTATACAATCTGTTATTGAAAAAGAAGTTGCGAAGAAGTTAGACTTAAAATATGAAGAGAAAAGATATGTAGAAAGAGAGAAAGAGAGGGCGGACGTGAAGGAGTGACAGTGTGAACATGCAGGTGCGCTATAGATGTGCAGATGTGTGGAAGTGGAGAGGTAGATCTGCAGGGAGTGTCTGCAGATGTGAGCGTGCGAAGATGTAAATGTACAGAGGTGAGAGAAAAGATATGTAGAAAGAAAGAGAGGGCGGATGTGAAGGAATGACAGTGTGGATGTACAGATGTGATATAGATGTGCAGATGTGTGGGTGTGTGGAGGTGGAGAGGTAGATCTGCGGATGTGAGCGTGTGAAGATGTAATTGTACAGAGGTGAGGGGGTGTAGACGTAGATGCGTCGATGCAACGGCAGCGCAGCGTCAACCTTGGTTGTGCAAGTACAACGCTGAAGAGGTTCGAATGAAACTGATGAACGTACATTTCACACTGAAGTTTCCACGAAATGGACGCCAGGGCGACCTGAAAGCAAACGACGTCACGATCATGACAAGCGACTCATGTATTCCAAGCGAACATCGTTTGTCATGAAGGCGCACGCAGTACCCACATACTAGAGTCACGATGACTCTTTTGTGGCAACCGCTGATCGCGTCATTTGAGTGATGATGTCGTAGGCTCGTCCCGAACAGTTTCGACGGACGACCCGCGACGTACTTCGCCACACGGTCTGCCCACACACTAGAAGCAATCCTATCGCACGATACCGCCAATCATCCCGCTCACCAGCGACACGCCGCGTTTACGCCCAGTGGCACGGCGCCACGCAAACGTACTTCCCACCAAGGCCGCGCAAATCCGCATGGCACTGCGACATCACGGACGTAATTCGTCACACGGTCTGCCCACACCCTAGAAGCAATCATATCATACTAGAAGCAAACACTTCTGAGTCGAGCTCCGCAGCGCTGTTTCCCGCGCTACAGTTGTACTACAAACTGGCCACTTCTGAGTCCAACTCTGAAAGGCTCTTTCCCGTACTACATTTGTACTACAAACTGGCCAGGTCTGAGTCCAGCTCCGAAAAGCTCTTACCCGCACTACATTTACACTACAAACTAGCCAGGTCTGAGTCCAGCTCCACAAGTGAAGCGCCAAGCCTCCAAAATGAGCGTTTCGTACGAGACTTCCTCCAAAAGTGAGGCGCCAAGTCTCCAAAACGAGTGTTTCGTACGAGACTTCCTCCAAAAGTGGAGCGCCAAGTCTCCAAAATGAGCGTTTCGTACGGGACTTCCTCCAAAAGTAAAGCGCCGAGTCTCCAAAACGAGCGTTTCGTACGAGACTTCCTCCAAAAGTGAAGCGCCAAGTCTCCAAAACAAGCGCTTCGTACGCACCTGCATTTCGCGCCCTTGACACGCACGATCTGCGCAGAGGGTTGCCCACGACAAATCTAAAACGCACTCTCACCTTAAGAGAAAAAGTAAAGAAGAGCGAGAGGTGAAGATATGAGATGTGTAGATGTGAGGTTGCGCCGATGAGCAGAGATGTCGGTGAAGATGTGAAGATGTAGATGAAACGTAGTTCTGCAGATGTCTTTTTACGAAGAACCCTTCGCAGGCGCTCTCGGGAAAATATGAAGTATTCAGTTCAATGACTTGTTGCGTAGATGAATTCTTCCTGATTGGTTGGGTTCTAACACGTGGTTTTGGACACAGGAGCTCTCATCCTTCAGGTCATAGGAGCAAATGGTCTCTGGCTGCGTTCAAGACGTCACAAAATGGGACCCATGAACCGGAATGCGCACATAGAATTTTTATAAGCTACTAGTAACAAGGGCATCGCTACTAGGAGCAAGGGCCTTACTAGTAGTAACAAGAAGCTATTAGAATTAAATTTTCAATTAGAACTTAATTTAGAAATCGAAAACAAGTGGCCAAACATTACCTGACACTCTTATGGGGCGCTCTGGTGGGACACTTTTGTGGAGACTCTCGTAAGGCACTCTTGTGTGGGACACACGTCTAGGCTCCAAACATTTCACGCAAGACAAAAGTCACACGTTAAGGAGAGTTCCTCCAAAGTGGTGCGGCTAGCGCATCAAAGAGCAGTGCCAACCGGCGCAGCAACATTCACCCTCACCAGGCGTACCCCAAATGCCGGGGGCCCATCAAGCACATTCCAACGTTTGCGAACGGTGGGGAACATGAAAGCAAAGTCCGGAAGCGAGAAGCCTTTGTTACGCGCAGGAAAACTAACATTACAGGAAGCGCCCGCCCTGCAATTGGGCGACCCTTTTTTCGGGATTTGATTTGCTTTTTTCAACACGTTTTGAAGTGTTTTCCGCACTGTTTGTGGTCAGGGGTTGCCACAAAGAGAAAAAGAAAGAGAACTAGCGCAGGAGGCAAGGGACAGAAGAGTAGAAGGAGAAAAAGGAAATGGAGGACAAGAGGGAGGAAGAGAAGGAGAAGGAGAAGGAGAAGGAGACAGAGGAGAGTGGAAGGAGAAGGCTCTTCCCGCTGCATCCTTGCAGATCACAATACAGTATACACCATGTGAGAATGGTAGCGCTTACTGGTAAGTCTGAATTTTTTACATGTATGTCCACGCATGCATATGTAATGTAGCTTTTGCTTCTGCGCGGCTTCCTTGCTTCCTTCCTTCCTTCCTTGCTTCCTTGCTTCCTTGCTTCCTTCCCCCCTTCCCCCTTCCCCCATTCCCCCCTTCACCCTTCCCCCCCTTTCCCCTTGCCCCCTTCCCCCCTTCACCCCTTCCACCCCTTTCCCCTTGCCCCCTTCCCCTCTTCACCCCCTTTCCCCTTGCCCCCTTCCCCTTCCCTTCCCTTCCTTCCTTCCTTCAAAAAAACAGAACCTAGAAACATCCAGCAACACGTTGGAAAAATTGTCCCGGCAAGAGACCCGAAGCAGTGTGTGTGAAGTCCAGAAGCAGAGATCTAGACGCATTGGGGTCCAGAGAGGTGGTGGTGTGAGTGAGTGAGCGTGAGGCTGAGAGTGAGAGTGGGAGAGTGTGAGAGCGAGCATTTGAAAGCACAAAGTGCTGCGCCTGCGCCGGAATCTGCACTTCGAGGTTCACCAAGTGCTGCGCCTGCCACGAAATCTGCACCTCGAGGTTCACAAAGTGCTGCGCCTGCGCCGGAATCTGCACTTCGAGGTTCACCAAGTGCTGCGCCTGCCACGAAATCTGCACATCGAGGTTCACAAAGTGCTGCGCCTGCGCCGGAATCTGCACTTCGAGGTTCACCAAGTGCTGCACCTGCCACGAAATCTGCACATCGAGGGTCACAGAGTGCTGTGCCTGCCACGAAATCTGCAAACGAGCCACATGTCAAAAAGTCACGATTCACTGCACCTGTCACGAAATCTGAACCTCGACGATCACCACCATGTCCAAAGTGCCGCGCCTGCCACGAAAACTGCACTTCGAAGTAAAACCGCTCCGATCCCTTGCGCCTGTCACGAAAAGTGACCACCAAAAGCGAAAATGCGCACGGCACCACTAGAGAGCGCAGTCACTAGAAGCACCCGCCGCGGGCAGGCAGATTCTGCGAGCCTGCGCAGTCGAAATGCACTTGGAGGAGTTAAATAGCAGCGAATTAGCCGCACACGTCCGCGCGCTTCAGCGATCCAAGCATCGGCTGCTTTTCCACTACCGTAAGAACCCCTTAGTGTGTCCACACTTTTGGGGAAGAACCACAGAAAATGGGGTTCCCTTTTAATTGCAGGCTACCGCGATGAAAGGAGCACAGCTCCTCCGGTATCAACCAAGCTGCTTGGAGAAAGGAAGTTGGGCCATGTGAGTTGTGCCCTTCGAGCCCAAAGGCTAACGTGTTGCGAAAAAACCATGCGCGTTTTGCGGCACAAAACGTCACAACACAATCGGCGTCACAGATGTGCGCACATCTTTTGACACTCGGCCTTATCTGGGTTTATCAAATGCCTTCACGTCGACTTCTCAGTCTTGTCTTGTGCTGGTGCTTCTGCTTGTGCATCGTCCTCCGTGAGGTCCCTCTGTCCGTCCTGTTCGTAGGAAGTCCGAGCCCTTTTGGAAGGTAAGACTTTCGCCGTTGCCTTCATCAAAACCACAGGTTCCGAATCGACAAGCGACACCTGATTTCCATCTGACATCACAACTTCTTCGGCTTCGGGTGCTCTTTGTGCTCCTTCGACCTCTTTTTTCTGTCCTTCGCCTTCACCTTCGTCTTCGCCTTCTCTTTCTGGATTCGCTTCTAGTGATTCACCGGGGATTTCTTCTTCGGAAAGCTCATCGAGCAAAGGCACTGCTTCAGGATCGATGCCGATGGCCGCTGCCATTTCATTCAGCAATGGGTCGACCACGTCGCCACCGGCAGTCTCCTCACCTTCCTCACCTTCCTTCTCTTCCTCTTCCGCCTCTTCCTCTTTCTCTTCCATCTCTTGCTCTCCATGCTCTCCCAGTTCCTCTCCTCCCTCCCCTCCCTCCACTGGTGCAGCATTTTCCGCTTCACCCTCACCTTCTGGCGAATCTTCTGCAAGCACGGCTTCACACGCACAGTGCAAGCACTGAGCCTCCAACTTGAAATCAATCCTGGCCAAGTTAAATGACGTTGTTCCAAAAATATCTCCATGTTCAATCAAGTCATGGTGTGGAAGGAGCACATCTCGTGTTTGAGTTGACCATACCTTTGGGTCACGATCATAGCCAAAAAAGTGCAACTTCATCCGGCCATTGCCCTCGGGCAAAGTACAGGGCAAAAGGTTGGTGCAAACACCAACAAAACCTCCAACAACTTGGTGATGCATCAAGGCAGCGTGAAGCGCAGCTTCTCCTCCTTGTGCCAAACCACCCACCAACAATCTCTTGTGACCATTCTCGCCCAAAAGGGTTGCTTCTCTCTCCAAGGTCAAGCTGATGCGCACTCGCACGTCTTCCAAGCTCAAGGGGTCTGCTTCCAAACTTGAAGGATTCAACGAATCTCCATAGTAATCGAACCAACTGATGCATTGTCTTTTCTTGTAGGCGGTCACGGGAATACTGGGGGCAAGCGGCAAAACGATTCGGAGCCCTTTGGCTGCGAAGGCCGCTTTCCCTTGCAAATATCGAACGTTCCCTGATCCAAAGGGATGCAAATAGACCAAGGTGGCCTTGTGCTCTCCATCTTGCGGTAGTATCACCGACTGCTGTAGTTGCAAGCGAGCACTCACTGGTGCTTGAGGAGAGCTCTGCGCTTCTCCAGAAATTTTGGCCAGTACAGCGGCGAAAGGTTCTGCGGTTTCCCATTTCTTGTCAGCTTCACTGTGTGCTTTGGCCACTTCGTCTGCTTCTTTAATCTCAAAAGTCAGTTTTTGCACCAGCTGCACTAGTTGGTAGCGAGGTGGGATGGCTGCGCCACCTGACACGTGGAATGACAATCACTCTCCTCTAGGAAGCTTGATTGAATAGTGCAAGCGCTTCCTCCAGGAAACTCTCCCTTGCCCTCAGGCGGGAGCTTCCCTGAAGAAGCGTGAACTGTCCTGCGTCCAGTAGCTAGTAACTATTTAATAGCTACTTACCCTTTACTAGCTAGCTACTAGCTAGCTACCTCACAGCCAACCCCTCGCTCATTTAAAGGGCGGGGTGACAGTGTGTGAACCGTGTGTGAACCGTGTGTGATGCCGTGCCTGTGTGAGCGCTGTTGTTCCCAATCATCCGTAAAAAATGTGCCATGCTGACGACGCGAGAGAGTTCAGGACACGCTTCACGAAGACAATCAATTCGTTCTTTTAGGGTGGCTTCTGGTCCAAGAACTTTTGATTTCAATCGAAGATCTTGTTTGAATTTTTTCGCCACCCAAGTTTCCAAACCAGCTCGTGCTGTCACCATGAGCTGACGATCTCTTTCATCACCGATTTTGGGAAGGCCAACTTGTGAACGCAACTCATCCACCACTTGTGTCAAGGGTGGCCCGGCCACGATCACCCCACCTGACATGGAACAAACTTGCTTTGGGAAAGTGACAAAATACTCACAAACAAACTGTTTTATCAAGTGAAACACCTTGTTTTTGTTTTTTACCGAACCTTTCTCAGCCTCTTCCTCAAAAACAGCAGCTTCATCCCAATATCTGTCCAAACTGATCTGCTGTACTTCAATGGCGCAACCGCGCAGTCGCTGAACGATGTGCCAGTTGCATTCCTCCTGCCAGCTTTGATCCCCGGCAAACAAAATGCATTGCCGGCGGCAGCTGCCATCGCTACCAGCCTCAGCTTGTGCAACGTCGAAAAAATCCATTCACAACGCAACAAAAATCAAACCTACACGAAAAAAAACCTTCAAACTGCCAGTCCGGGCGCCGCGACCGAAGCCCTGGCTTGAGATACAATTCGACCAATGGTATTGAAGGCCACTGGCCCCATGGGGCCCAGATCGTAAGGATGGATGGACAGCACCGGCTGCCGATCGTAGGTCCAGCCATGTGCTGCACAAGCACCGCCAAAGCCGTCACAGTTGAACTCCGGTGGTCTCGCGTCAATGATGGAGCCGATGCGATACCCCTGGCACAATGTTTTTATACATGCGTTTTCCACCGAGTTGAATTTTAGATAAAAAAACGTAACCAAACGTGTCCACGCTCATGTGGCTGTGGCCTGTTGATTCGACATCAGCAAATAATCTTTCAAACGTATTTGACCATTTATCGCCCTGCCCTTCCATAAGCGAGAGCAACAATGGCGTTTCTCAACCGGTTTGAAGCGGAAAGCCTTCGCTAGATACTTGCGGTTCCTACTGAGGGTAACGTAGTAGAACACGGCGTCCGTAGTCGGAGGGTGATGAATTGGATGGCGACTGCTGGAGGAAGTGGAACCATGAGAATGATCCCTGGTTCGTGTTTTTTGGTTTTCTGCCGCAGTGTGTCCGCTTTCCCTGAGACTTTGGATGGCGGGTGGGTTTTTTGATCAGTCATTCAGCTTCAACGTGTTCAAGCCTGCGTGTGCTTGTGATGGAACTTGCATCTTTAGCTGAGTTCCACGCGGGGAGGTGCTTCATGGTCCCGCAAAATAACTTCGAGATCAAGCCTGGCTCAGTTGACCGGCCACACAAAAAATCAATCACAAACATCGCCCGTGTGCTGGCAGCATGGGGCAGGGGGCGGAGCGGAGAGAGTTGTGCATGCACCCGCACATTTTGCTGAGTGATTAGGCCCTGGGAAAATTTGAAGGAGCCGTCACCAAAACCACAAAACACAATTGCATTTCAATGGCTCTACAAGCCACCTGGAAAGTGCGCCGCAGTTGGGCAGCAACCTTCTGCAACAAGCAACCGCGACTTTTCAAAAGAGCCCGCTGGGTACATCCCTGTTTGCAATGACGGCAGGAGTAGCCGAAGCACCGATCACCAGCAGCGCGCAGCAGCGCAGAACTCCTGTGATTGAGCAACGGCGACGTGTAACATGCTCTCCGGCGCGCGGTCAAAGCACGCAAAGCAAACGGTCGATAGCTCGGATTCATGTCACCAAAGTGTTTGTGGGAAAGCCTGCCAGACAAACAGCGATTGGTCTGGTGATTCATCAATTGCGCGCTGAACAAGATTCAGGTCTTGCTCTTGTGGGCTGGAGCGACGCGGCTCTTGCCAAAATCCGCGCAGGACAACGAATCTCTTGAACTGGTTGCGCAACAATCCCTCAGAGGAGCCACTTATTTGTGGACGCCGTGGCTTTGTTTGACTCTGCTAGAATGGACCTCTGCAAACCTTCACTTTTTGCTTGCCAACACATGTTTAGTTTGCATTGAAAGATAACAAGCGCAAAATGATTGCGCCACCAAGCCCAAGATTGATCCAAGAGCCAACTGCCATCTGGAAGTTGTTGAAGATTGACGCCGCAGAACCTCCCATGGCTACCATCTCATGGACGAAAAAAATATTTCAATGATTTGGCTCCAGCGGCTGTCACTTCCTGCTTCAACCATCAGGAAGTCAGTCATCCACATGACTTACGGTTGTTTGCAGCTTTCCTTGCGCTTTCGCTTGAGACCGCAGCAACTACCCTTGTTGAAGATGCATTGTCCCACTCGTTGCCACTAGAACCATCTCTGTTGTTGGATCGATGATCTTTGAAGAAAACAACTTTTGCATCTGCCTTGGGCAACAGCCAAGAATGGTGGCCGCGAAGTCGTAACAAACGCTGTTTGCTATTTCTAGGCATACTCGGTGCCAAGCCCTCATGAGTCCCATGACGTTCAAACAATCCAAGGATCTATTGCTGGCTTTCACATGTCCGCGCTGAGCGGCCTTGAAGACTAGAACCCTGACTCGAGATGGATCCACTTTGCCAATTGCTGTGTGGTAAAGTTGACTGCCTCTCCGCCGTTTGTTTTTAACTAGTTTTTTGGTAGCGCTGTTTTGCGTTGAGTCGTTGGCCGGGTCTTTTACAATGGCTCTCCACATGGGAAACGTGACCGGAATCGGTAGTTCGGCGAAGGCAGCCCTGGTGGTGACCTGCTTCTCTCACCTGCAGGTTCACTCGCGGGGCCTGCAAGACATGTTGAAATCGTTCCATTTGCGTATTGCGATTTCGGCCCGAAAGCAGCTTGGAATCAGCGAGGGCACTCTCCACCATTTTTTGCCAGGGGTGTCAGAGACTCCCCCTTGCTCGACCCCAAATCGTTGAACTCGCCGAAGATGTGGTCTGCATTGTCGAAGCATTTGGCTTTCCAGCGAATCCTCGTATACTGATCCACAATCCAATGAACGAGAGAAGCCCACAGAATGCATCTTGGAATTGGTCGTTGCCCGCAATTCATCTGCGCGCGCTCTTTTTGGCTTGGCGATTAATCCATCATAATACATCGTGATGCTTGCCGTCGGAGCATGTCAAGAAGCTGGGGCGTGCCTTCTAAGACTAATGCCAGTAAGCAAAACTGCTTCGATACAAGCTGATTGGTGCGTCTCCATGTCCATCAACCCTTCATACCTCATCACAGCAGCTCGTTGGGTTTTGCCAGACTCAGCGAAACCAGGTTGATTAAGGTTCCATTGCGTAATGGCAGCCTTTCTTGGCCACGTTGTTGTGAGCTGCGACCAAACGCCAGGCTGGAGCCAGTGGATGGTGTCCCTTGCGCTTGAAGATGACAATCTGGCACGAACCTCAGTCCGCAACGAGCCAGTTTGATGACGGGATGCCTTGAGCATTGAGCCTATAGGTCTCCGCGCGAGCAATCCAAACCTTAATTGTTGGGTCTAAGGCCGCCAAACCCTTTCAAGCTTTCGCGCGATGAGCGCACAGGTGGGATGCGACCGCGGATCTGCCAGTCCATCGCAAAGATTTCCCAAGACGCTCTGCGTTTTCCAGTGGTGGAAGTTGTTTCGGATTCCGCGTTCGTGCTTCTGACTCACAGTCCATGCAATGATGTTCCCGGCTATGGTCGAGATTTTTTCTGTCGCCCCTTGACCACGAAGCGTTCTAACAAAAGCTTGGCTGGGCGGATGGCCTATGCTTGTTGATGAGGCTTCAGAAGCCTTCTTGACAGAAAACCAGACATCGAGGAGCTGAGCTTCGACACGGCTGTATTCTTCCGCGAGCAATGGAGAAACAGGATCAGGTGGTATGGCCATAGAGCCATAGAGTGAACGGTTGGGACCGAACTCGTTTTCCATGTCTTTCCGATTTTTGTTTACTAGGAGCAAGGACGCTACTAGGGTTCTTCCTCTTCTTCAACTCGATCCTCGGAATGATGGGTTCCAGCCCGATTCGGCCCTGAACGCCGACCTTCCTCCAAAGGTCCTGTGCTGGCGTCGCTTGAAGCCTTATAGAAGCCTTAGCGTGCACGGCTTTCACCTGATGGTCGGGTTTTCGCAGCCGACGGTGTTGGTCCAGTTGATGGGGCCTTCTTTTAATCTATTTTCCTTTCCCTCCAACAAACTTGTCTTACCTTCAACAGCCCCATCCTCCAACAGCAGCTCTCCTCGAGCTTCAGCCTCGTTGTCCATCCTCCTCCTCCTCCCCTTCGGCTGAGTGAGCTCCTCTTGGGTTGGGCTAGAGTGGACTAGGCAAATGAAAAACTCTCCCCGCGCCCGCTCTTTTTCTCAGAGCGCTTGATCACGAAAAGGCAAAGCCGTTGTAACCCATGTCAATCCATGAAGCCTTCACATGAACGTGTCTTGACAGCAAAGTCTCCAAGATCCCTCAGAGGTCTCTAGTTTCCGCCACAATCAAACCAAGTCATTAGTGCCTTCTTCAAGGAAGCTCCCTCGGGCCGCCTTTAAACTTTAGGGCGGGGGAGCTTCCTTGAAGAAGCGTGAGCTATCCTGCGCCCTAGCTGGGAGCTTCCTATTGCTAGTAGCTTACTTCCTTACTTGACGTAGGCGCCTACTCAATTGAGGAGGCAGAGCCACGGGCTTAGAAAAGAGAAAGTCAATGCCGGACGCGGTGGATATCCACGGACTACGACAGAGGGCTTCGCGAGGATTTGTGAAGACTGAGAGGGCGGAAGAGGTGGGCGTTGCAACGTTTGCGGAGTGAATGCATCAAGAGTTGTTGTAGAGAAACAAAGCAAGTTCCTGACGTTGGTGCCTGTGTTCTTTTTCCATGTCAGTCTGTAAATCGTGGTGTACAAGGTTCACTTCTTTGTTTCCGGAACGTTTGTGCTTCGGTGAAGAATGACGCGACTGAGAAAGAAGCAGTCGTGCCAGGTGTTGGAATCACGCTGTTCCAATCAAAACATGGCGACCGCCGAAGCACGTGCCTTTTCACGCGCTAGAAAAACTCTTGTGCCTCAATGGGCCACGAGCCACAGAAAACCAGTGCAAACATGTCGACCAGGCGACGATGCGAAAATGACAGCGTGGTTGAGATTTGTGTCTTTGAACTGTCTTGCGCCGCTGCGCCGCTGCGCTGCTACGCCACTGGGCTGTGCTATGGTTGTGTTCTTGTCTGTGGCGCGCCGCTATATACGCCGCTGCTTTGCCACGCCGTTACGCCGTTACGCCGCGTAGCCCACTGTCTGCGCGGTGGCACATGTGCACTTTTGTTAGGCCTCGCTGTTGTTGTTGATTTTCTTGTTGTTCTTCTTGTTGTTGATCTTCTTGTTGCACTGTCGTTCTTCTTGTTCTTGTTCTTGTTGTTGATCTTGTGCTTGTTATTGTTTGTTGTTGTTCTTGTTCTTGATCTTGTGCTTGTTATTGTTATAGTTGTTGTTCTGGTTCTTGTTGCTGATCTTGCGCTTGTTATTGTTCTTGTTCTTGTTGTTGTTGATCTTGTTCTTGTTCTTGTTCTTGATCTTGTGGTTGTTATTGTTCTTGTTGTTGTTGTTCTCGTTGTTGATCTTGTGCTTGTGATTATTGTTGTTCTTGTTCTTGTTGTTGATCTTGTGCTTGTTATTGTTCTTGTTGTTGTTCTTGTTCTTGATCTTGTGCTTGTTATTGTTGTTGTTCTGGTTCTTGTTGCTGATCTTGCGCTTGTTATTGTTCTTGTTCTTGTTGTTGTTGTTGTTGTTGTTCTTGTTCGTGTTCTTGTTGTTGTTGTTGTTGTTGGAGCGAGAACGATTTGTGGAGCAGT